TATATATATATATATATATATATATATATATATATATATATATATATATATATATATATATATGCAGGGTTTTACGGTTTAGGGTATATACAATACACAAACGCACAAACGAACAAAAAACGCCACACAACGAACTCGAACAGAAAAACAACTACATACAGCACAAACAAATAACAAACAAAAGCAAGCAAACGAACAAACGAAAAAACAACCACATAAAACAAAGCAAAGGGGAGTACACCAGACTCACTGAAATGCCATTCGTTTCTCGAAAATTCGGCCAAGTGCAGCGTTGTACTCCTCGAGGTCCGTTGCCTCGTCAGAAGCGGCCTGAAGAAACAAAAAAAAGAAAACAAAACAGCAGCAAAAGAGAAGATACAGCAGCAGAAGAAGAGAAAATAAAGCGGGAATACAACAGCAGCAGGAGCACTGCAGCAGAGGAGATGGAGAATGAAACAGCAACAGTAAAAAATATGAAACAGGAGAGAAAAAGAGAGGCAGAAAAGATAAAAAAGATAAAGAAGAAAAGAGAAACAAAGAAGAGATAAAAAAGAAGAAATATATTTGTTATAAATAGTACTAAAACTCACCGATGTATTTGAAGCGGCATTCCACAGAAGCGGCAAGGCCTGGGCGAGGCCTTTATCTTTCGATTGCTGGCGAGGAGGAGACGGAGACCGCGACGTAGGCGGACGCTCTTGAGACGGACCCTCCTGAAGAAACAAAAAATTAAATTAAAATAAATTAAATTAAATTAAATTAAATTAAACGGAAAAGATTAAATTTGTTGAGTTAAATTAAATAAATTGAGGGAAATTAAATATAAAAGATTAAATTGATTAAATTAAATAAATCAAATGAAATTATATACAAAAGATTAAATTGGTTTAAACACATTAAATAAACCGAGTTAAATATAAAAGACTAAATTAATTAAACTAAACTAAATAAATTATATTGCACTATTAAAAAATATGCTCATATCAATTCGAATAAATCAAAGCAGAAACGAAGGAAATGCCGCTGATCGGCAAAAGTTATAAATCATATCGAACAAAAGAAATTAAATTAAATTAAAGAAATCAAAGCAAACCAAACAGATTGAAATAAACTAAAAGAGGAAACGAAATAAATAAAAGCAAAACAAAAGAAATCCATTGAAGAAATTAAATTAAACGGATGGCAAACAAATCGAAGATATTTTAAATATTGTATCTAACGGATTCAAACATCTGTGTAGCAAAATAAAATAAATACATTATTTATAAACATATACACATTCTGACGAAAGAAGAAATAAAGAAATACAAATACTAGATGTAGAAATGCACCAATCAGCTGTTATATTTGTGTAAAAGAAAGAAATATATTTGTTAGTTTTTGTTTAGTTTTCGATGGAGTTGAGTTGTTTGTGGCGCACTTTGTTTTTTTTCTTCGCTCCGTTCTTCCCCTCGTCGCCGGAGCTGGAGTCGCCCTCTCCGTCCTTGCCCGATCCCGATCCCGAGCCGGACCCCGAGCCCGAGCCCGAGCCCGATCCCGATCCCCCTGAGCTGCCTCCTCCTTTGCTGTCGTCGCCGCTGCTGCTCGCTGCAGCAGCAAGGAGAGAGAAACCTCTGTTGAGGGGCCCCTGTAGAGAGAGGAGCAACAGCCCAAAGGCTAAGAGGAGAGAAGGAATACGCGGCGCCATTGGCACATGCAGTGCGGTGGGGATCGATCGCCCCTGTGGTGTATTACAATGAA